CAAATATCTCTTTGTATGAGAAATCTCTCCAAGAATGTCAAATCTCTCCCAAATCTCTCCAAGCATGTGAAATCTCTCTCAAATATCTCTTTGTATGAGAAATCTCTCCAAGAATGTCAAATCTCTCCAAGCATGTGAAATCTCTCTCAAATATCTCTTTGTATGAGAAATCTCTCCAAGAATGTCAAATCTCTCCCAAATCTCTCCAAGAATGTGAAATTTCTCCCAAATCTCTCTCAAAAGTTCCCGTAACTTTTTAGAATCATTCGGGTCATTCCGACCCTTAACCGAGTCAAAAACAGCTCAAAACGGAGTAAAAACGAGTAAAATAGGCTTTAGGACCCGAAACCCCTCTTAGGGCCGAAAGTCCTCTTAGGAAACCAAAAGTCCTCCTAGGACCGAAAGCCTAAGCAACCGAGACTCAGCAGTAAGGAGAGAAGCCTCTCGGACCGAAAGTAAGGAGAGAAGCCTCTCGGACCGAAAGTAAGGAGAGAAGCCTCTCAGTCTCTGCTCCTCTCTCTCGGCCAAGCCTCTTGGTCTCTGCTCCTCTCTCTCAGCCAAGCCTCTCAGTTTCTGCCCCCTCCTCTCAGTTCTACCCCTCTCTCCTCTCGGTTCTAGCATCAGAAGACCGAACCTCGGCCAGATTTCGAAAATTTGTCACTTTTAGCCCATTTTTGATATTTTTAACATTTTAAGCCTGTTTTTAATTGTTTTAACGCGGGATTTTCACCCAAAATCATGTTTTAACATAATAAACCCTATATATTCACAATTTAATCATATTTTCATAAAAATCTTTATTTAAATAATAAAAGCAAGTGGGTGAAGTACAAAGAGGTGGAGTGTTGACTTTGTTTTACCTTAAGACACAAGCAACCACTCCCACACCCACTCTACGACCAGCCACACCTCCCCACCTTACCTAGGTCACATCAATGTACTTTCTCATCATTTTCACCCATTTCCCACGTTCTTAGAAGCTGCATATTCAACCTCTCTCCTCATTTCTCTCATTCCACCACAAAGAACAAACTTTTTTCTCTCTCACTTCCTCTCTCTAGAATTCGAGATTCAAGGGCTGATCTTGAGTTTTTCCTCCACATTTGGTAAGTATAATCCATCCTCCGTATGATTATTTCACTTTCTTCTACACAAATCAAAGATATCTTACACAAACTCCATCATATTTGTGTTAGATCTTCAAATCTTCAAGCAATCTTCCCAAGTGTTCTTGAGTTGAACACTCCTTTTCCCCATCATCCATCTACTGAAATCACTCAAGGTGAGTTCATACCCCTACATTTTAATGTTTTCTCAAGTTTTTAAGGGGGTAATACAAGTTAAAACACCAAGAACATAACTAAACTTTTCTAACAGCCTTCATCAGAAAAGTTCAACTCCATTCACGGACTGTTTTGGACAACTTAAACATTTTAGTTTTCAAAACTGTTTTAGATGAAAATATTTCAAGTTCTTAGCTTTAAAATGACTACTTGTACATCTCCATACGATTTTTCTACAATTTATGGTGATTTTTACAAAACTGCCTATCATTTCAAACACCAATCCGGACCAGTCTGTGATTATGGACTTTTTCACCCAAGTTGGAGGTCATTAAAAATAGTGATAAAAATTAGGAGTAAACTAGACACATTTTGGGAACTCTCAGGATTTACGGATCTAGTTTTCGACTTCGTATGATTTTTCTATGATTTTTCTATGATTTTTCCAAAACAGTGCAGAATGGTTAAAGTTAGCTAACAACATATAAATATCATAACACTTTGTATTATGTTGAGCAAAGTGTATAATCATAAGTTCTAATTATTGAATGTGTTTCCTTGTTAGTTTATCATCATAAACTGAAACTAAGTCATTCATGATAAGATTATTCATTCATTTAGAACACGTATATTAAACTATAAAAAGCATAGTTTAATGGATTCATAACATTAATGCATTTCCATAAAAGAGTTTTTACATATTACAAACGTTTTAGATAAACTATAATAGGTATAGTTTATGATACATCACATAACGCACTCGTACAAAAAGGGTACGTTCATACAGAAAAGATTTACATTCACACACATTACACGTAAACTTGTTAACCTAAATTGTGAGACATTCTCTTCCCGTACGTCCGAGTGCGGGATATAATTCCTGGTAGTTATAATCAGAGTCTCCTGGAGGGAGAACATGATACTTGTATATAGATCTATATTGGGGTTGACACCCCACACCTTGCTGCTAGCTACAGTAGGACCTGCAGGTCTACGGGTGACAAATGTTATTTTAGTTTTGCGACGCCTGAGAAACGTCGTGGCAGGTTCATTCAGTCATAGTATGATTATAGCGACTCACATAGGGATATAACAATTCATAAAGTTTACGGGATTTTATTTATAAAACCTAAATGGGTTTTATGTCGATTTAAAATCACTTTTATCTCAATGGGTACAGATATTACTGTACACTTTCGGTTTTGGTAATTATGACTACACATCATTTGAAACCACATTTATACCTTTAAGTATGGCCAATACTTGTTATTTCTCGGCCCTCGGATTTAGGACTACATATACATAAAGTATTAACAAACATAAGAATATACAGAAATTTCATTTAATTCAAACGCGTTCATGTCCATTTAAACACATATCATTTTCTATTAGTAAGAGAGGTTACTTATACATTTTGGTCTTCGGTCATAAGACTACATTACACAAATTTTAAAGAAAATATCGGATTTTCTGGATACATATTCTAACGCTTTGCTAAGGAAAACGGTTTACTTTTCTAACGAAATCTCTTATGAACTCACCAACCTTTGTGTTGACACCTTTTCAAAACTACTTGTATTCCCAGGAATTCAGTGAAAACAGGAAATCAACAACGTTTTGAGGATGGGATGATAAATCGTCAAACAGTTCATTTTGTATCATAATGTAATTGATGTGAATCATGTAAACATGTATTTTGATGTAACTTTTTCAATTATATTTGTGATGGTTGTATTTACTTTGAGCACTATTATACTCGTTGTTGTGATACTCTACATGAAGTCCTCCACCCCCAGACGTTTCCGCCATCCTTGGTTTGGGGGTGTGACATTTTAGAAGTTAGTGCAAAGCTTCGGCTGTAGAGTGATATTATACACTATTTAGGGAAGCTTCAGGAGCGTGGCTGAAGACTTAGGTATACACTTGAGTTTTTCTTTTGGTATACATCCTACTTCGGCCTTCGATGATTTTGGTGCAAAGGTTTGACTACAAAATGAAGACTTAGAACGAATCCGTTTGGCAAATTTTGGTGAGTGTTGCTTTTGAGGAAATCTTCGGGATCAAGGCTAGATACAAGGTCAAAAGCACAACCAAGAAGTAGAGATTTGAATGAAGTTAAAAAGCATAGTTGAAGACTTGGCGATAAAGTCAAACAACGAAGTGTAGTTGGGAGCTGCATAGCTAATCACTTGAGTTTCTCTTTCAGTATACACCCTACATCAACCTTCGGTGATTAAAAGTCGTCCCAGATTCTGAACTTTATATTGGCTTAGTAACTTGGGGACCAAGTCTCCCATCATGGCTAGCTTATGTCGATAATGTCATAGGCTCATGCATCCCGATCCAGAATAAATTAGATTAAAATGTTTATTGTAAATAGATTTCCATGTGTATGACTGTAACACTAATGTTGAAAGTGTGTATCATTGATGATTAATAAAATATCTATATAGTTAGTCTCTTGACATAGCTTCATTACCCTAATCAAGTGAACCACGTTAAACCCTTGTGTTCTTATTGTTCTTCGCATTTTGTGTTTGTCATACTCCTTTATCCTAGCACTTAGACATATAATAACCTCGCTCTAATATGTTTGTCATTAGAGCCCGAGCTTAGATCAACGAGTATGTGTAGGCTCGCGAACCTAAACGAGTACACGTTACATATATTATATATGTAAAGTTTTTTTTTTAAAATATAAAATTACTAATCAAACTATATAAACGAAATAAACCATTGGTGCTCTTTGCTTTGTTACGCTTAGTTACACTTATTAGTTGCATCTATGAATTATTATTATTATTATTATTATTATTATTATTATTATTTTAAGGGGGGGATGAAATAAATGTGGTTATCAACTCCTCAAAAACATACAACCCGAGTTTGGGCTTGTTTAAACTCACAAGGTGAATTAAGCTTGAAAATAAGGCTTGAAATGAGCCTAAATATGAACGATTCAAGCTTGAGTTTTGTTAGGTTCAAGATCCACTTGTTGGTTTACACCCTTAGTTTTCTCGTTTCAACAGATTTTTCTTCTTTACAATAAAATCTTCGGAAAGTAAAAATAACATTTAAGAGTAGATTAGATTTGCTGTTAAAAAAATGATAAACGAAATAGAAGTTCTATTTTCCCCAATTTTCGTGTCACGTTTCTTATCATTAATCTTTACGTAGTGTATTATTTTTTTTCTATTTTGAGTTTATTGGTGATATGTGATTCTTTTATTGATAACTGGTATATGTTGCTAGTTTAACTTTTGGTAAAGGTAATGATTGGGATCATATTGATCTATCCTCTGAATCTGATGGTTATCTTCATGCGCTTCAATGGGTATCTTTCTATTATCTTATTGAGTTTTATAATGTTGACAAATATGTAACTATTGTATCATCTTCCACACAACAAAAATAAGTGCAAATTACAAAGAACATCAACATACTTTTCTCTCATTACCAATATGGGCAATGTACTTTATTTCTTACACATAATACCTATGTAAGTAAGTTGCTATTATGGGTCACGAAACATAAGTACATTGCTATTATGGGACATAGAACAAATATACTGGAATATACAAGGGGCGTTATGGTCATTTAACAGCTACGAGATCTTTTTTCAATCATTATGGAATCACATCATAATAATCAAAATTACTAATTCCAAAAGATTTGATTACTCCGATATTTTTCTTAACATAGGTTACAATCAACTCCTTATAACACAACACTCGAATCATTCACATTCATTTTCCTCAAAGAAAAGTCCAAGTTTTTCCCTAATCTCCTATCCAAATACGCATCAACAATACAACCAAAAGTCACAAGATCCGGGAAAATTCCATTATGTTTCATATGTTCAAGGCTTAAATGCAAATCCCAAAACAAAGACATCCTTGAGAAAGCCACATCTCGAGTGTTAAAAGTGGTTAGATCAAGTTCAAATCCAGCTTCCAAAATATTTAAAAACTCTCTTTGCAAACTCTTCATTTTAGAATTTGTAGCATACGACAATAACAATAACTTCCAAAGAAGATTCCCTACATTTCTCTTACCAAGACCCACGTCCCTTAAGAAGTTTCCCAGAGTATGAAACCTTTTGTCCCTTATATAAGCAAGAGAATTTGCCCTAATCCCATCTTTTTCAACCAAAAGTCTTGAGCTTTTTAGACGTTTGTAAGCGTTTTCCATCATGGGTATTGAACCAAAACAACTATAATACATGATATAAGCATTACCCATAGCAGAATCAACAAGAAATCCCTTTGAGACCATATAATTTAATGTATTATCTATTAGTTCAAGCTCTCCTATCTTACCAAAACAAGATATGGTGTGTTCATAAACTTGGTGTTGTAATTGAGGATGCCTAAGACTAATTTGATGTATAATTTGGATTACTTCATTGAAAAGCCCCCCCTTCAATGTATGTAACATCCCAAAAATTCGAGCCAAAAAATTTCATTTTTAAAACACTTACTTAGCAAAACATTAGAAATAAAACATTCACAGATCATACCATTTCATAAAAGATGTGTGTCTGAAAATCAGTTTATAAAAACATAACAATGTCAGAGTACAAATCCCGAGGAAGATCTCATAGTGCGGAATACAAAACGTGTGTGTGATGTGCCGCTACCGCGCTAGCTCCTTCCCCTTCGAAGAAGAGGTACCTGAAACCAAAACTAAAAACTGTAAGCACGAAGCTTAGTGAGTTCCCCCATCATACCACATACCATGCAATCACCTATCATACATACTGCCAGGCAATTCTAGGGTGCCCGACTTACCCGGTACGACCATTCTAGGGTGCCGACCTACCCGTGTCAAGCCGTTCTGGGGTGCTGACTACCCATGTGAAGCCATTCTGGGGTGCTGACTACCCATCGGCCCTAACAACCGATCCTCGGGGACTATTTCACCCCATACTAATACTATCACATATACAATAACATAACATATTATCAGACTTAACTGCGGTGCCTGAACTACCCTTCGGTCCTGATAACTGAACTCTACTACTATCGCATACAACATATCATGCTAGCATATAACATATCAGGTAGTAGCAAACCTAGATGATATCACAAAGACAATCATCTATCATACGTACTCCTACTGGTGGGCCGACATTGTGGCCTTAGACCCACCGCTACTGGAAGGTAACTCACCTCGAAGTGCTTGTTGAAAGTCAGCTTGTTGAGCGCCTGACTGCTGAACCGGAACCCCCGGCTACAATTTCCATAAACACTAAGTCAGATATTAATAACTAATCTTGGGATAAAATGACTATTTTACCCCTTGGTCAAATTCAACATCCCGGTCAAAGTCAACTTCCTGGTTGACCGGACTCGCCGAGTTGGCTCGCCAACTCGCCGAGTCCCTTCCATATGTTCTAGCTCTACACCCGATATACTTGTCGAGCTTAGCGAAGACTCGACGCGTTCTTCCTCCATGCATACATACTAAGTCCAAGTTCATCTGACTCGCCGAGTTGAAGAACAACTCGTAGAGTCTTAAGGCAATCTTCATCAGACTCGCCGAGTTGCTCATCCAACTTGCCAAGTCCACGGCTATCTTCATAGGACTCGTCGAGTCCATCGTTCTACTCGTCGAGTTCATTCAGTCCTTTTTCTATACAAAACTGATTTGAGCCATGCCGCGGCTCCAAACCACAGATCTAGGCTTCTAGGGCATGCTTATCACGTAAAGTTGCAAATTTTATGTGCATGCATAGCTTTAGAGGCTTCAAATGTCCAAACTAAGCTCTTAATGGGTTCTAAGCTCAAGAGGGACCTTAATCACCAATATGACCGAACTTAACACTTCAAGAAGATAATGAGAGTCCAAATCTGAAGTATAACCCAACCATAAGGTCTCTCTTCAAGGATTTGGGGTTTTAGGGCTTAAAAGCAACAACTTAGGGACAAACAAGATCTAATAGATAAATAACCAAGATGGAAACTTTATTACCATAATGGACGACCACAAATGAATGTGTTCTGGATCTAAGTCCCCTTCCTTGACCTCTTCAACTTCTCCCTTCTTCCACTTGCTCCAAAGTGCACCAAAACTCCCTTCACAAGGCAACAATCACTCAAACTCACCAATGGAGGCTAGGGTTTTCGATAAGGATTGCTCTGAGGGTGATGGGGGCTGAGATGGGGCTGCAAGGATGTTTAAATAGGGTGCAAACCCTAAGGATTAGGGTCTCCTCCTGATTGGCCTACTAGCTGAGTCCAAGCGTGGACTTGCTGAGTAGATCACTTAAAGCCCGCATCCAACTCGACATCTACCCGACGAGTTAGGGCTACAACTCGCTGAGTAGCTCTTCTAAAAGAAACATTTAATCAAAATAATTACGTACCAGGAACGGGGCATTTGCAATTCTCCCCCACTTATCTTATACTTCATCCTCGAAGTCTGCTGACTCCAGAAACAACTCGGGGTAGTGCTCCCTCATATCCTCCTCCGCTTCCCACGTCCACTCCGAACCCTTCCGATGCTGCCACTGCACCTTCACCAACTGAACCACCTTGTTCCTCAAGGTCTTTGCCTTTCGATCTAAGATCGCAACTGGTCTCTCGATATAATTCAGGTTGCTATCAACCTGAATATCCTCCAAGGGTACAACTACTGACTCGTCCACCAAACACTTTCTCAACTGAGAAACATGAAAAGTGTTGTGGATCTGGCTAAGCTCTGCTAGAAGATCCAATCGATAGGCGGCCCGACCCACCCGGGTCAAAACCCTAAAAGAACCAATAAACCTAGGGCCCAACTTGCCCCTCTTCCAGAACCTAATGACACCCTTCCAAGGTGATACCTTCAGGAGGACCATGTCACCCACCCGAAACTCCAAGTCTGAACGCCTCCTGTCTTCCTAACTCTTCTGCCGACTCTGCGCAGTCTACAGTCTACTACGAACCTGCTGAATCAACTTTGTCGTCTTGATCACCACTTCAGTGCTCCCAATGACACGCTAACCGACCTCGCCCCAAAAAATCGAGGGGGGGTCCTGCACTTTCTCCCGTAGAGCATCTCAAAAGGAGGGCGATCAATACTCGCATGGCAACTGTTGTTATACGAAAACTCTGCTAACGGAATATATGTATCCCAACTGCCACCGAAATATAGCACGCATGCCCGCAACATATCCTCAAGAGTCTGGATGGTCCGCTCACTCTGGCCATCCGTCTGCGGGTGGAAGGCAGTGCTAAGATGCAGACGAGTGTCCAACTCATCATGAAACTTCTTCCAAAACCTGGAAGTAAAACGCACATCTCTGTTTGAAATCACTGACATTGGCACCCCGTGTTGCGTCACTATCTACTTGATATAGATGACGGCCAACTTCTCGGCCAAGGTGCTCTCCTGAATTGGAATAAAATGGGCGCTCTTGGTCAATCGATCCACGATAACTCATACAGAATCCACTCCTCGCGCGGTCCTTGGAAGCTTTGTGATAAAATCCATCGTAATATCCTCCCACTTCCACAATGGGATTTCCAACAGCTGCATTTTTCCATGCGATCTCTGATGTTCGACCTTGACCTTCCTGCAGGTCAAGCACCGCTCGACGTACCAAGCCACATCCCGCTTCATGCAGGGCCACCAATAGTCCAGACGAAGATCCCTATACATCTTCGTCGCCCCGGGATGAATGGAGAATCGGGATTTGTGCGCCTCCTCCATTAAAATCTGGCGCACGCCTCCGAGGTATGGCACCCATACCCTACGGTGTAGTGTCAATAATCCTTGGCTATCATAATCGAAAGAGGAGACTTGACCCACTATTCGCTCGCTCTTCCGATGCTCCTCCTTCATAGCCTCCTGCTGAGCTTCCCGAATCTGCTCTAACAGTGGAGTCACCACCGTCATCCTCATACACACATCTCTAATCGATGCCACCTTACGGCTAAGTGCATCGGCCACCACATTGGCCTTCCCCGGGTGATAAAGGATTTCGCAATCATAATCCTTCACCACGTCCAACCACCAACGTTGTCTCATGTTCAGATTCGGTAGATCCATGAGGTACCTCAAACTCTTGTGGTCCGTGTAAATGGTACACCGAACTCCATAAAGGTAATGTCGCCAAATCTTGAGGGCGAAGACCACCGCCTACAACTATAAATCATGCGTCGAGTAGTTCGCCTCGTGAGGATTCAGCTGCCTCAAAGCGTAAGTGGTGGTTGTCGAGGCCAACACAAATAATAACCCTAAATGTTACACACTAAAATAGTG